TTTTCAAAACTAAAAGTTTACTTTCCCATTTTATCCTTAGCTCATCTCCAACACAATACTAAAAACACAAAAATGTGGGTGTTCTAATCTCCGACCCAACAATAAAACACTAAAAATTGGAGAAGTTTTTAAAGTTGGTTAGTGATGCACGAGAAAAGTCATGATTTTCAAATGAATCTYGTGGCGATGGATGGATCAATGGTAGGCATGGGAATTATAGACCCGCCTCATTGGAAACCGGTGTATGCGCCCCGACGGGGCCAGGGACTCCCTGCAAAAACCGAGGACCGGGGATGGGGACCGGCATCCCTGAAAGTTAAAACTCAGGGACGACGACGACGACGACGAGGCCAGGTAACGTGGTCTCTGACCTATCCCGTATATTAAAAATATTACTATTAAATATATTATTATAAACAATTATATTTAACATCTATAAAATTTAGAAATAGTATTTTGACTTTTCTTCTTAAATACATTTTTTCTAAGTTGTCTTACTTTTTTAGAAAAAAAAAACATTGAAAGCCGAAAGCGTTTGCCGTGGAAAGTCATGTTTCTCAATCGCGATCCAGTTTCTGGCGGAGGGCGTGGTGCTCGTGATGCCGCACTGTCATTTTTTGCTAGCGACGACGAATTTACCGTGAAACAATTGAATCCGTTTTTTGCCCTTTTGTGGAAAATTCAATGTATTGTTTTTATCATTAGAAATAACATTGAAATAAAAAAATACTAATAATTCGTACAAAACCAGTTTTTCTAGTATTCCTAAACCGAAAAATCAATCAATAATTACTTCTACWTTAATTCTATCCATCATATCATTTTTATATAGTATTGTATCAACTGCCAAACACATTCTATGATATACCTTGGGTATATAGATTGACATTATTTGGTGCCGCAATGTTGACTATTTATAATGACAYTTTATGTAAATCAATCYAAATAAGTKGATTTTCAATGTCAGATCATGTTAATGTTTTCATCACCATTTTAAACGTTTAGGGTTAAAACAATTTTTTTACGAACCATCAATCTTAGACTCAAAAGTCTATCTTGATTATAGTTTGAGATTTTATTGTTGTTTTAGAGAGATGAAATTACTTAAGATTCATGCACTAAATATTAGGTAGTAAAGAGTCAATAATGTATSAAAAGACAATATCAGTTTTGAAACCCTAAATACATATATATAAGTTTAATCGTATCAAACGGTTAATTTTTTATTTTCAAAAGGTAGGAGCTTCTTAGTTAATAAACCGAAATAGTAAACCGAAAAGCGTCTTTTATACTACTGCTTTTGGTGTTGATCTGAATAGCAAAAGATCAATGAGAACATGCAGCTATGAAAAGATAAAGAAAATTTCTCCAAAAGAAAATTGGTGGACATTTTATATCTATGCCTATGACATTTTATTCTAACTTATTATATTTCTTTACATCTTGATGGTTTTATTTGATAAAAATCCTCTTCTTGATGCTTAATGGAACCCAAATAAAAGTGTCCCTGCATATGGTTGTGCAGTCCAATCTGGGTGAACTTCGATAATTGTTCCATGCCCTTTTTTATTTTCTTTCTGAATTATTTTTCTGGTTGTTTGCTTTATTAGCGATACAATATGCCACCATTTGATGCTTTGGGTTTTTGCAGATTATAAGCCGGAACTAATATTGAAGTCACTGGGCAGCAAAAAAAAACTGCAGAAAGTACAACTTGTACAGCAACATGTACATCCTAGCAAAGCAGCAAAATAAAGATAAAAATAGATATAATCTTTCGGAGTTGGATCCTTCGATTTTGGAAAAAATGGGATGGACTTTAGCACTTGATTAATATAAAAAAGGGCTCCTCATCATGTGTTTTTTTGGGAAAGGTCGTGAGTTTGAGCTGAGAAAGGAGACCTTCGCCTTTTTCGAAGGGTGGCTCTCTGATTTATAGAAACAACGGTAGAGCAAGAAGGGACNAAAAAAAACATTGAAAGCCGAAAGCGTTTGCCGTGGAAAGTCATGTTTCTCAATCGCGATCCAGTTTCTGGCGGAGGGCGTGGTGCTCGTGATGCCGCACTGTCATTTTTTGCTAGCGACGACGAATTTACCGTGAAACAATTGAATCCGTTTTTTGCCCTTTTGTGGAAAATTCAATGTATTGTTTTTATCATTAGAAATAACAYTGAAATAAAAAAATACTAATAATTCGTACAAAACCAGTTTTTCTAGTATTCCTAAACCGAAAAATCAATCAATAATTACTTCTACWTTAATTCTATCCATCATATCATTTTTATATAGTATTGTATCAACTGCCAAACACATTCTATGATATACCTTGGGTATATAGATTGACATTATTTGGTGCCGCAATGTTGACTATTTATAATGACAYTTTATGTAAATCAATCYAAATAAGTKGATTTTCAATGTCAGATCATGTTAATGTTTTCATCACCATTTTAAACGTTTAGGGTTAAAACAATTTTTTTACGAACCATCAATCTTAGACTCAAAAGTCTATCTTGATTATAGTTTGAGATTTTATTGTTGTTTTAGAGAGATGAAATTACTTAAGATTCATGCACTAAATATTAGGTAGTAAAGAGTCAATAATGTATCAAAAGACAATATCAGTTTTGAAACCCTAAATACATATATATAAGTTTAATCGTATCAAACGGTTAATTTTTTATTTTCAAAAGGTAGGAGCTTCTTAGTTAATAAACCGAAATAGTAAACCGAAAAGCGTCTTTTATACTACCGCTTTTGGTGTTGATCTGAAGCAAAAGATCAATGAGAACATGCAGCTATGAAAAGATAAAGAAAATTTCTCCAAAAGAAAATTGGTGGACATTTTATATCTATGCCTATGACATTTTATTCTAACTTATTATATTTTATAAAAATCCTCTTCTTGATGCATATGGTTGTGCAGTCCAATCTGGGTGAACTTCGATAATTGTTCCATGCCCTTTTTTATTTTCTTTCTGAATTATTTTTCTGGTTGTTTGCTTTATTAGCGATACAATATGCCACCATTTGATGCTTTGGGTTTTTGCAGATTATAAGCCGGAACTAATATTGAAGTCACTGGGCAGCAAAAAAAAACTGCAGAAAGTACAACTTGTACAGCAACATGTACATCCTAGCAAAGCAGCAAAATAAAGATAAAAATAGATATAATCTTTCGGAGTTGGATCCTTCGATTTTGGAAAAAATGGGATGGACTTTAGCACTTGATTAATATAAAAAAGGGCTCCTCATCATGTGTTTTTTTGGGAAAGGTCGTGAGTTTGAGCTGAGAAAGGAGACCTTCGCCTTTTTCGAAGGGTGGCTCTCTGATTTATAGAAACAACGGTAGAGCAAGAAGGGACGTGCAAAAATCAGGAAAATCATATGCATGATTTAGGGATTTTGTGAGAATAAGTGGTTAATTTGGAAAATAGTGTTATTTTGTGAGAGGTGAACTCAAATTTACTTATTTTTGTTATTATCTCCTTCTTTACATGCGAACTTTGAGGTTTTTTTTAGTTATTCTATGAATTTGTTAAGACAATATTGCATGCCTCTAACCGAAGATGTTAAGATGACTCGGATTCATACGAAAACAATAACCAAACAAGAGAATCAAAACACAGTCGAATTGCATGTGAATTTGCACTAAAATCATGTGTAAAATCATATGTGATTCACATGAAGGTCATGGGCCACGTCGTCGCCTGCACACCTTTATGTTGACCGTTACTGTAAAATCAAATGTGATTTTGCACGTGCTTTGATTATTTTCGTGTTCTTTTTTTTAGTTATTATTCTCGTTTGAACCTCCCTCAATAGAAGTGAAAGTATGTCTTAGGACGCCTCATCAGCAGGTCTCTATCTGTTCCAGTTTTACATTCGATTTGAGACTACGTTCTTACCAAGTTAATGAATTGATCTTGTTCTACATATTGTATATACTCATATTACCGCAAAAGTGTACATGATATTTCTTAAACTCAATCTATATGTTTTGTTGGATTAAATTAGATTCTAACGTAAATTGATTAGTTTTTGGTTGAGGTGTCGGCTACTTATACTAATTCTTGGTTTTTCGTATAATTGATGTCATTATATGTCTCAATGAAAGTTGGGGTAATACATTGATGGTGATAGTTTATATATCATTTATCTACTTAGTTTTAGTTTAAACGAGAGTTGGACTTTGACTTAGAATCAATAGTCAATGATTTTGTACTTTTCCATGAAAATAGTAATGTCCAATTAGGTTTGCAGGAATAGAAAGAATTTGGGGGATTTGGAATTGAAATCCATTCCACTCCCCTGTTTCAATTATTTATAAAGAATGAAATTCAATTTCATTCCAAATTCTAAAAATTGAACATACCAAACCTTCAAATCATTCCAAATCCAATCCCTCTAATTCCAAATCCTTCCATGAAATCCAATTCCCTTCAAACCTTTCCATCAAACCAAACGCCCCCTTAGAGTTTGAGTTGGGGATGATTTTGTCATTGTCCAATGCTTCTAGAAATTATGTTGACCATCATGAAAATAGTCAATCCATTTAGTTAGCAAGGCTAATTTACCTTAAAAAGAGGTCTTGGTTGTTAACTTTTGAGAAACCAGATCCAAAATCAAGCTTAAGAAGTCTTTTTTAGTGTAGATAGTCTAGATTAGGTTTCATTTTATATTATGTAGGTAGTTGTGTCTTTAATTTAATATATCCACTCTTTATTTACGGTTTTGTACAAATTGTTGAAAATCCAATTAAAGTGGTATTCGAGTAGTAGGTTCATAATCTTGAGTGGATTTATGTTTAAACCATTGTCTCCCTGTGATAGATACATATACTACCTCACCCATGTACACATGTTTGCCGTCTTTGTGGACTCCAATAGAATTATTAAGTTTGAGTTAGAGAGACACAAACATTAAAGTACTATCAAGCTTGAGTTTTCTTAAGCAAATAAAGGCTTTAGATAGCCTACATACAAACTGAAATCGAGAGAAAAACAAGGATATATCTATTATAGGGAAAAATCAATGATTGATTCATCCATCCTTATATGCTAAGGATTTTATTCAAACAAACAGAAATAGCGATTTTAAGGACTAGGTAAATGCCCTAAAAATCTCTAAGGAACTCATATATCCATAGGATGAATGAACAAAGATTTGATATGCTCTATGAATTCTTCTCCCGGATGTGTGAAATTCTCTCCATCTTTATATAGATAGTTTGTCGTTCGAGTCATGTTGATCACATGCATTATTAAAGGCCTTGGAACTTCTTTAATGATGAGAGACTCTTGGTTTATATCTTTCCACGCATCTTCGACTTTCTTATTAAGATACTCATGGGCATCCTGTTCCGTGCCATCGTATGTTTTCATGTAAATTTCAATACAAGATGCTGAATGCTTTCTTTCTTGCTCCTCCTGCATTTTAGTAATAACAAGCTAAAGGTTTCAATCTTAGTATATATATGTTGGTTCAATTAAGAAGGTTAGAAAATCATGAAAAAGTAATAATGAAATGTTTAGGGCAGGTCAATATAAGGATCATTGAAAAAACCCGAAAAAAACTATTGGAGGATGCACATGTACAACCGACGTTACAAATTATTCATATGGATTCACATATGCATCTTCCTTTATTCCCGACAAAAGTTCAATTGCAAACTATTTTGTTATAAACCGCGAAGACAAGTGAGAAATTGACACGTGCACCTGACATTAATTAATCATGAATAATGAACGTAAGTATTCATGATGATTGATATATCATTCAAGATGAATGATACATTATTCATTATGAATAAACCATAAATGTATGAGAGACATGGCTTGCTCTCCTTTAATTTGTCCCCCGATTTACAATGGAACTTACGTTTTTTATTGAGCCTGCCCATATATATATATATATATATATATATATATATTTATACACACACACACACACACACACACACATATATATATATATATATATGGAAGTTCAAACGATAATAAAATCAAAATAAGATATCATGAGAATGACCAAGTCACATGTGATTTTTCATTGAAATCAATTACAAACCATGATTAATGCAGGGGTGTGCGGGAGACTTGACCCACGACCAAAGTCAAGTTGTAAGAACATTTGATTTCAATGTAAAATCACATATGATTCGATCTTTTTCTTATTTTGACACTATTCCCATTTGAACCAATTCTCCCCTCCTCTCTCTCTCTCTCTCTCTATATATATATATACCTATATATATACATATACATATAGATATAGAGAGAGAGGTTTAGGCAAAACCCCAAAAAGATGAAAAAAAAAACTGAGGAACACCTGGTAATTATTTACGTACTTGGTAATTACTTACCAGGATGGTATGCACATGTATATACAAGTAATTGAAGATGTTTTTTTGGTTTTTATGCACGTGTGTATGTGCATCTTACAAAATACTTTTATCCACTTGTGCAATTGTGTCTAGATGTACGTTTACCAGAGAGTTTTTCAATTTTTCTTTTTGCGATTTTTCTGAACCTGGCCCAATGCAGTTTGATCTTTTAATGATATTGATGTACCTTGTGGGAGGCAATATCACCCACGAGTCTACCAATTATATTTGAATAATGGAAAATAAGAGGTTTGGTGAGAATCCATTTAAATGAGTCATGTGTGACTAGATCACCCATGCCAACAAAACTTGATGCTACAATCATATCAGCTCCGCTGGTTACTAATGCAACCGACAAGTACTCATCCATTGTTGGCATGTACTCGTTAGTAACCCATTTCTCTTCATCCATATAACTCTTAACCATTTTTATCACCTGCATATTCACATGCATGCGTCAAATGTATTTGATATATTATGTAAAACATAATATTACAAATGACATATATATATATATATATATATATATATATTCGATGTTGATACTTACAAATTCTTTGGAATAGCTTAGATGATATGCTTTTCCCTCCTTTACCAACGTTTCTTCCATTTCTTTATACATATCCATTAGCTTTTGGTATATCAATTTCATGTAGTCCGGAAGCATTTCTAAGCATGTAATCGACCACCTACATGTAATCAAGTTAAGAGTTAATTGTTTGAATAATAGCATGTGTAATAAGTGTATCAGCTAGCTTGAATTCTTGATTGTGTCTGACATGTATAAGTAGACGTATAGTGTATGTATGTGGCTGACTACCTTTGAATTGCTTCAGTAAAACACTCAAGTTCTTCATGAATTCCATAAGCATCATAAGTGTCGTCAATAAGCGTTATCATTGCGAACATTTTTGCCAAGAATATCCGAGAAGAAGAATACTGGGGCTCAAAGTATAAACCTAGTGCCCAAAAGTAGCATTCAACAATTCTATCTCTGGCGTAAGGTAGATTGTTTGAGACATCAAAACCTTTCCACCACCTATGATAAATTAGTACCCATGTTAATATTAGTTTAAGAAAAAAAATCCCATATCTTCAAAATTAAATAGAGAAAAAAGAAAAAGCATAAATATATATGATGTATATATGTAAGTGTAGTTCCGAACAAGAACAATATCAGTTTACGAGAATGAAGGAAAACACACAACCATCACATGTGATATTGTATGGGGAAGAAATAATGTGAAAATTGTGTGTGGGGCCCCATGTACATCATGCGTGTTCCACCATTTTATCACATGTGATGGTTGTCTATTTAAGGTGTCCTTGCATTCTCGTTAAATTATATCATTGTTGTTTTAAACCTTCCAAACACACACACACAGACACACAGATATATATATATATATATATATCTGTGTGTGTGTGTGTGTGCACAGAGAGAGAGAGAGAATGTCGATCATGTACGAATTTTTTTTTGTAGGAACCACTTTGTTCAGAGGTTCACATAAGTTAACATCCTCATATACGTTAGATATGTTAACCTGGAAAAGTTAACATACCTTAATAGGAAATGTTAACATATGTGAGGATGTTGTGGAAATCCACTAACAAATTAAATGGTTCTTATTTAAATTTCTACCGAAACCCAACCATATATAGATTATATAATATATACTTAGATTCACGTGAGAACTATTAAAAAATGAGGATGTGTATATTCATTGATGCATATATAAAATAAAATTATGTTCACCACCAATGAGTATATTCATCGATACATATCTACTATATTTGCATTGATGCATATACTCGATGAAACTCATTAGTGTATATGCATTGAGTATATGTATCAATGAATGTATAGATTCTCAAAGTTTTCAATATTTTTGTGGTTCTTATATGAATAGGCCCCACATTATAATATATATGTAGGTATGTATATATATATATGTATGTATATATGTATGTATATATATGTATGTATTACTCATGAATGCCACAAAAAATATAGGGGAAGTTGTCGGTATTTACTTGGCAACTTGACTAAGCTCTTTCTTGTGAAGTGATTGAAGCAAGTTGAACCCTAACTTGGCAAGTCGAAGTAACGATTCATTGTGAGAAGCTTGTTTTTGGTAGAAAGGAATGTAATGCAAAGCCTCTAGTCTTGGAAAACTTTTCCATAAAGGTAACTTTAGTGTCGCTTGTATTAGAGACGAAAGGGTAGAGTTGCTTCGAAGAGGATCCTTTGATATTTCGTCTAGATGAGAAGTTGTAAAAACATAAGCCTCATCTAGTATAACTTCACCTTGCACCCTCATATACGTTGCCTCAAACAACTCAAGCATGCCTTGAACATCATTTGTTAAGGATTCCTTAAAACATCCATTTTCATCCTTATAGTTACTGAAAATATCTGTATCATATAACAAACTGTTAATTAACTTCTTAAATTAATTTCTAGGATTAATATATTGAATTTATTGATATAACTTACCAGATGAAACATAGAAGCCTTGTTGTCGCAGAAGTCGAAACCAAAGGGAGTGCCTACCAGCATTCCAGTTATCACCATATGTATCATATATATGTTGCAAGGATTTCTCAATCTCGTCTTCAAAATAGTAGGCTATGCCTAGACGTTGGATTGCATCAATCAGTTTCAATAAATTTGTGTGTTCCATTGGAACATTTAGTGATGCTACTAAATCTTTCCTCACTTCTTCCTTCAAATCTTTGACTATTTCTTCCATCTCAATTCGTTGATTTGCTTCCTGTATTCACTCATGAATCATCATTAAGTATAGTTGTTGTCAACATACACACATAAAAACAATCGTTACTAGGCCCACCCTAGTCATGGGCGGCCTAGAGCATCAAAGCCTAAGAAGCATCAACACACGTTGTGCACTATTTTCTAGCAACCTTCGTTGCAATTGGTCTATCGTAACGACATTGAACCTATATAGATGACTTTGTCTTCGCTGTATATCTATTTTGTTGTAGTGTGCCAAGATTCAAAACTCAAAAGAAGAAGCATGATTGAACCCGCCCTTATGAGTCAGCTACTTATACCTTTGATTTTATGCAAGTGTCTAATGTTAGATTTAGCTTGGTATTATATTATTGTGCTATATAATCATAAGATACATATTATAAAAAACACGTTATCATTTAAGAACAGTAACAAAAATCGGAATGGTGATGAGTCACCTAACTTGACTATGTTCCAAACCTGTTAACACATAGTATGGACTGTCTTTTTATATAATGGGGCATTATTTTGATTTTTCGCCGTGGTCATGAAAAATCCAAGGACCGACCCTGATTGTTAATACGAAAGGGCCATCGGCCCAACAGTAGCCAGTAGCTCCACCTTCCTATAGATCCGAGGTTCAAATCTCACAAAAAATAAGAAATATATGTAAGTTTAATTTTCCATATACATATATATACTAGAAGGATACTCGCACAATGCAACGAGATGCATTTCGATTTTAATGTTTTGTTATTTTTTTGTCTTGATCGATGTTATAATATGGTTTTATGTAATTTTGAGAAAACGATAATGTTTATATTTTTCAATAAAAATATAAAGATAATAACTAAATATTATGTTAGAACTCAATGATTGTCTAAATATATTTTAGATTTTTTAATTATACTTAAAATGATATGTTTATCTTCCATTTCATTATGTTTATCTGCAGTTAGTTACACGAATTCAAACATGAAGCTTTAATAAGTTGTATTTACACATAATTTACTTGTAATCTTGAATTTTAAGTAATATTAATAAACAGTACTTTATGCATAAAAAATGGTTTTTAAGAATTTTTGTCAAATGCTTTATAATATAGTATAGATATATAATATATATGGATGGAGGACCATACGAGATTTCACTTAATTTGCGAGAAATGTGAGAAGGACTAGATCATATGTGATATTGCACATACAAAAGGGCGAGGGCGACTTGGTTAACGGGACCAAGATCGTGAGAAAAGTCTTCCGTGATATGGCCGATCAATCACTATGTGTTGTATCATATCTAATTATTGTGTTCTCAACCCATTAATTAGATATATTATGGTTTATATTAATTAATGTCTTCTCATTTGAACCGCTCCTTATATGTATATATGTATGTATGTATGTAGAGTTGGGTTCATACGAGAATGATACATATTTAAGAAAATAAGAGAACGACCAAATCACATATGATTTACACTAACATCACGTACAAAATCACATGTAATTCACGTGACCTTGCCATGCGGACACATGGTCACCCAGACACTTTTTTTGCCGTTAATGTGATTTTAAACTTATTTGGGCTATTCTCGTATTTTGTTAAATACGTATCATTCTCATATGTATTATGATTTATATTAACTCTACTTACCTCATTGTAGATGAGAAATTGATCTCCCCATACGCTGGGACGAAAGTTGGCAACGGGACGAACAACATCCTCTTGTGTAATAGACATATCGAGATCTATGAGAGATGTAGATCTTTGTAATCTAGTAGTTGAGAGTTGATATTAGCATAGAGGAAAACGGATGCTATTTATAGAGTGGATAATATCATTAAATCATAAATATCAGTATATTTGGATTTTAATTTTTTTTCACTAAATTCTTTTGTACCCGACTCGTTCCATCCGTGTGGTCCAAACATGAAATTATATTGTTTTCGAAAAAATTCATTCAATTAAGTACAAAAAATCTTAAATCAATTGTTTTTTTTTTAAGGTTCTAAATGATGTAAGACGTGACTTAACAGTGAGTTCAAGCTTTAAGCCTTACGAGCAAGGTCATATCGTTTTTCAAGCCATGCCCTAAGGTGGCATATGTTTATATATAAATGCGTATATCTATATAGAGGAGGTTTATTTTGCAAACCACGTTATTTGTACAAACCGTACATATCTTATTTAACCAATCATAATTTTTCATTTTGTTCATTCTTTTTATAGTTATGAGAGGTTGATTAATTATTTTTATTGTGGATGGTGTTAATCATGGATATTATCATCTTTATTATATTAGTTTTAGAGAAATAATGAAACAGTTTCAATAAAATTTCATAAATATTTTTTGAAACAATTTCATAATCATATATGAAACAACTTTATAAAAAAATATTATATGAAACAATTTAATGAAATTTTTTTATAAGATTAAACAATGAAATTGACGGATGAGGGTGGTTTGCACGGTTTATACAAATATGAGTGGTTTGCATTTGATTG